TCAATAGGCTGTATCAGATCTTTAAACTGTACTTTTGTGTTTGCCGCTTTAGACGCCGATCTGAAATCCGTCTAAACAAACAGGTTGAGTTATTTCCTACTTATCTGAGACGAGTTTCCGCTGTGTCAGGTCGGTAATCCATGGTCAACGAGTGAAGCGGTGAATCTTCTTCGCGGTGGTGCAGAAACACAGAGGTTTCGCTCCTTGCGCGTCTGAGCTGCAGCGATGCGTGCGGCTTTTCCTCTGGAGCGCATCACTGTCAAGATAGCCAGAATTATTCAGAACTTCCGTCTAACAGTTTCAAAATAAAAGAGTAATAATAAGACGCATAAACGAGGTGAAAAAACAAAGAATGCATTTGTAGCAAAATGTCAGTGCAAGTAATTGAAAACGCAAACATAATTAAAAAAAACTAATTTAGATTTTGTTTTTTATCATTGTGTCATTCTTATAGCCTGGACGGTCTTACAAGACACCACATATGAGCCAGATCTAAAGTCATGCGTACATTTTCAAACAATAATACAAAGAATATTGAGTCATTTTCACAGATTTTCATGTCTAAAAAACAAATCCTTGACAAAACATGTATCCAAGGCTCTTGGAGTCTCTGTCTCAAAAAGCTTATATTGTACTCATATGGTGCATATTCCTTTAGAAAGCTGTTTATTTTGATTACTTGAAGGTGATATAGGCAATAGAAAGATGGTGGGGTCAAAGGTCCCACAAGTAGGTTAATCCGTACATGCATGTACCGTATATTACTGGAGGAATCAGAATGAGTACTGGTTAAATGACACATCTTCCCTTCTTCTTGCTAACTCCAGACTAGCTACTTCTCCATTCCAACAGTTAAATAAAACTGTATAAAATGGAGCTCAAATCATACAGCGTATTTGTTGTAAGTGTGAGAACACAGTGCAGACGGGGTCGCAGAAGCAGTTTTCAACAAATGTTATAGATAACTATATCTAGTTACAACTTTAAATCCATTTCCATTCAGATCACTGGGGAAGATTGCTTTGTAGAATATGTCACGTGTAAAGATGACATTTTATTTTGAAGGTACAGCCAGACTCTCTTTTTGTATCTTTGTTTGTAACTTTACACACTTCAGGAATCCTGTTGAGCGGCTATGAATCCGGGGTGCACATCTAGAAAACAGCAATTCATTACCTGTCAGACATTGTAGACAGAGGAACATTTCTCTGTAGCAGAAATTCATGCATTGAAGTTGTCTAAATGGCTAAAAATCCACTCCTCCTGCACTCGAGCTAGGAGCAGCGCTGTTGTTAATGCGGTGATATATATATTTTTTTGTAGCTTACGTCTGAGCTGACTTGAACAGAAGGATGCGGCTTAGGACAACATGAGAGAAAGACAGGCCTCAGAGCGATGTTATTTTTAGTGCCAGTACTTAAGTGCTCATATCTGAGCTGAGACCCTATAAATTCCTGTTTCTTTATAACAGCCTATCTCACACAGGTGAAGCTGCTCCCGCTTCACAATATAAGAAACTAATATTAGACTGAGTAGCAAGTGAGAAAATATGGAAAATGTAAAATCCATGTTCTTGCAAAAAGCAGGTTAAATAATTGATCTGTGGAAAATGATCAGACTTTTACCCTCTTGGTGGATCTCATTCATCCGTAACCAGTTTTACAGTTACTACTATCTTCTGGTGTACTCTTTATGCATCTCACCCTTTTTGTGAATACATATCTAATGGGATCCCTAAAATAATCTCTCTCTCTCATCATCATCATCATCACGTAAAATCCCATTTCTGCTTAACATACTATAGCCTACAATTTTGCTGCCATCTGCTGTCCATAACTGAGGTTTTTCTGCTGTTCAAAAAAGCAATAACAGAAAGACATGCATGACCACTGAGGAAATTGGTTCAGCAGTTTATTTGTAGTTTTATTAGAACGTGTTTACAGTTCAGCCACATAATCCCCCCGTAGGAAATGAAAGTCTAAAAAAAGAACATTAGCAAACGTTATAAAATAAGTCATACATATAGGCTACCAAGCTACTCTGTATGGTCACTGGTTGGGGAATGCAGTGCATTGGTTTGGTCACCGTACCACCACTTCTGGACAGCACAGTGATGCAAACAAATGGACAGGGCACAGCAAGCAGTTCATTTTATTCCTGTGGTTTGTGAATGGTGGGCACACATGAAGGAATGGCTTACAGCATCAACCTTTACATAATTATGGGCTGGTAAAAAAAAAGCTTTAACAGTCTGCGTCTCCAAATGCTGCCGTAAAGGATCAATGTAACGTTGCTTTAACATCGAAATAATATGAATCCTACTCTGCATTATGAACATGATGTGAAATCACTCTGTAACTTTTCCTCCTCATGGCTTATCTAGAGCAAAGTATCTGAAAACCTGAGTATTTCAAAAAAGATTATTTCATAGAAAAATAACATCTCACAGTATCCATTCAGCTTGGCTCCTGTTTTTTTCCCCCATAACAGAATGTTTAAAAAATAGAGCAAAACAAAATTATGTGCTATTTTTCATCTCAGACGCAACACTGAGCTCAGATTCTGCAGAGGCTTATGATTTTTATTTTTGTGAATTTACAGTAAGGGCCTTTTTTTTTTGTTTTTTTTGTTTTTTTTTGGCATGACTGAAATTACTAAACGGCCTGCCCACCTCTCCTGTTAGAGACCTCGGAGCAAGGGTTTTCACAGTAAGAAAATCAGTGGTTAGGATAAAGTGGTTTATGTTACCAAGGCAACTGTACGTGGCACGATGGGCACAGCACTCTCTAGAATCTAGACAGTGGTTTTTGTTCTGACTGCACATACACCATATTAACAGTACTTGAAATATGCACGCTGAATGCATATTTTTGGCATCTTTTGCTGACTTCTGAAGTAGGGTACGACACAGAGCATCCTAATCCACACTCAAGCAGCATATTACAAAACATTCATTTATGAATAGGGCAGGTACAATATAGTTCTTAATCTGTTTACACGTTGAGCCTTCACAAAAGCTATATAGCAATTTTCATGTCATTTCTCATCACACAATAATAAATAATCTGAATGTGTAGCTGTTGTACATAATATATAGATATACTGCATATATTTATATATAGAGACTTATCATGATGTATTACAATACAGCAATACATATCAGGGCTTGGCTCCAGTTAGTATAGTATTTACAATAGGTTCTGTCATTTATTTCTCTACAAATATTTACAGACTATATATTTCACACCTGCTGTCAAAAAGGGGTTTGCATTATCACAATCATATATTCAGTTATATAGAACAACATTACAAGTTGAGGCAAGTGTCCACATAAGACAAAGAGGATATTGTACAAACACGTTACACTGTTTCCTCTCAGACCAGATCGACGTGGTGCAGTGGATATGAATGGCTGACAGTCTTGGACTGTTGCATTATTATTGCTCAGTATCTTCATGAGGTATAAGTGAAAGTCTCTGTACATTGGGGGGGGGGGGGGGGGGTGTAGTTAAGAGAGGACACTGTGCTGAAGTAGCCAGAGAGAAGCAGAAAGGTGAGTGAGAGATAGGAGGTGGGTCAAACGAAGGTGTCAGAAATACCTTGCTGTCCTGGAAATATCTATCACAAATGCTGCAAACGTGAATAAAGAAGTGCAACATAATGAGGGCAATAGTGCCCCAGAAAAAAAACGACAATGTCGTTGTTGTTTCACCAGCGAAAAACACATAACTTTACCACGTTGGTGTCATTTACAAGTTAAAATGTGATCTCGACATTTAACGTCAGCCAGAGGTCAGCTGTAAAAAGGCACAAAGAATATGACTTCATACTACTGTAGATATCAAAGTGACTGAGAGAAAATGTTGGTCGTGTGGGTAGCTGCAGAAAACAAGTGGAGGTCTAACAGTGTGAGATGGACAGAATCTGATACAGTGTCATTCAGCTGCTGCATTCTCTACTTCCTGTCAAAAGTTAAGAGACAGCGCTTCCCCCTCCCCCCTGTCCTGTTTGCCTGTTCCCCTCTACATCCTGTGCCACCCTCTGTTGGCTGGGTGTGAGCCAAGGGCCTGGCAGCACCGCGGCCCTGCGCCCGCCTGCCATAGAAAGGCCTGAGATGCTGGCAGCAGACACGCTGCCATCAGACTGGCTGTTTCCAGAATCTGACTCATCATCTCCCAGCTGCTGCACGGACAGTGTGGAGGTGAGGAAGGAGAAGGGCTTTCTCTGTGACACTGGATCCATCACAGCAACGCTTGGTAAAGGCCTCTTGATGCGCCCGTTCAGTGCATCCTCGTCTTTCTCATTCTCATTCAGCTCCGTCTCTTTATTTTCACCTCTGTCATCATCCCATGACCTCTCCTGCTCCTGCTCGCTCTCCGGCTCCTTCTCTTTCCTCAGTTCCCTGTAATTTGCTGCCATGTCCCAGTTTTCATCATTCACCGCCTCCCAGTTTTCTTTGGGACTGGGAAGCTTTTGGTTTGGACTTGGAATGGGTAGGATAATATTCTCATCACTTGCTCCGCTCTCTAAATTAACTCTCTCCTCCACCTCCACCTCCACCTCCACCTCCACCTCCTCATCTTTCTCTTCCACCCTCTCCTCAACAGCAGCTACCTCCTGCTGTCCCTCAGGCTCCTCCTTGCCCTCTGCCTTCCCCACCCTCTCCTCGCTCCTGCTTTTCCTCGGTCTGCTTCTACTCCTCCTCTTCCTCTCCCTCTCCCTTTTTCTTCCCCTCACTGTTCCTTTTTCTGTGTCACTATCATCATAATTCCTGAGGGCATCTCTGGGTAAACTCTGAGCCCCTCTTTTCCTCCTTCTCCTCCTGCTGCTGTCCCTGGTTTCCCGAGACCTCTCCCCCAGCTCAGAGACAGGGCTTTGCAAACCTGAGCGTCCCTCTCCCTCTGAGGCCCGTCTTCTTCTTCTTCTCCTTTCAGTCCCTTTTCCTTTCTCGCGTCCATCTGAAGACTTGCTCCTCCTCTGCTTAGAGCTGCTACGCCCCCTCCGCCCAGTGGAGTCTACTGCAGCCAAACCCTGCTCCTTGGGGTGACGCAGGAGGGAGGGGGAGGTGATTCTGTGCTCACGGCCTGGAGGGGGGTGGAGGAGAAAGGAAGAGAAAACAAGACTGAATAGGCAGGTAATTGAGAGGAAGAGCAAAATCTTGGGCAGAGGACATTATGTAATCTGTTATTAAAGAGCTCTGACATCCAGAAAGTTTTTTTTTTTTTTTTTGTAAGAGGTACATTAGGTTATCTTGTGTAACAACAGATGCTTTTCTGTTTGAGTGTAACCTTCGGATAACCCTTCATTAGAAATACAACACATATCTGATTATCAGCATGCTCTATAATAGTGCAATTATGCAGTTTTCTATGTGTGTTTAGAAGGTGGTGAATTCTGTTCAGAGGTAGGTATGAGGGGAACTAAATTGGACAAGAAGCATAAAGTTACAGCTACATCACTACATAAACCGATAATCGAGATTATCTTAGAATGAGGAGGTCCAACACACAGGCTTGTTTCACTACACGTGAAGACAGCAGTGGTGAGTGAGCAGAGGAATGTAGAGAGACAGAAAATGGGAGAACTAACAGGAACCATTACCAACCGCGTATTCTCTGTCCGTCCAATGACATAGAAGCAAGGCTCGCCTAGCTTGGAGTTGGTCATACATAGAGACAAACTGGAGAGCTCCACTGAGAGAGAGAGAAAAAAAGGAAAAGAAAAGAAAGGAGTGGGGCAGAAAGGAGGAGGAGAAAGGGAGGAAAACCGAGACAGACCCAAATGGAGAGAGAAAATGTAGTGTGGGTGTGTTAAAAAGCAAAAAATATTGAATTAACCAGAAATGTGGATGAGTTAAAGGAGGGAAAACACCAAAAAGAAAAAAGAGATTAAAAAGGTAGAAAGTATTTTCGTTAGAATCAAAGCCACGGAAAAAAGAAGAAAGAAGATTTTATACCCAAGACAAATGCATCACATGCCAAACACAGATTCCCTGATTTTTAAAAAATGTTTTCTCCCACTCTCCCGCTGTGTCTTACCATAGTCAGGCACGTAGCCGTTTCCTCTCTTGAGCACCAGGTGGATGCGGTGGCCTCCCCTGCGGATCTGCTCGACGGCCTGGCTGTGCGTCATCCCTGCTGTACTGTCGCCATTGATCTCCACAAGCTGATCGCTCACCTGCAGCCACAACACGCACAAACACAGCATCCACATTACTTTAAATGTTGTAATCTATTCCAGTAACTCATTAAAACAGCACAACACTCAGTAACAGTAACTAAGACGGGCCTTTTTCACAGCAGACATTTTGACACGTCACTGTAGGAGAAGCTCAGGTGTTACTAATAACACTAACGATGCCTGTGAGCCAGAAGTCACAAAACAGCCATGATTCATTTTTATTATGTACAGCTGTGCTACTGCGACAGGTCAAGATTATAGTGTGGTGACTACTTTCTTTACTTGAGGTGGGGAAATTAGAAACAAGACTTTAAAGTTTACAGGCACATTAGTAGCTCTGTGACGTTGTTCTAATTGCTAACGCTACCATGACAACATCCTCACAAGGACAATGCTACCATGGTGATATTTAGCGGATATTAGCAAGTTACTGTTTGACAATTGGCGCGAAAAAAAGTAAAGCTGATGCGAATGACAAGATTTAACGTTGGCATTGCTTTCCAACAGTGGAGACAACTCTTGGAGCGTAAAGAAATTAAGTCTGATGCTGAACTCATGTTTCTTCTAAACTGGCAAGTAAACAGCTGTTAATGCTAATGTTGGCTATGTAGCAATAGCAACACTAGGTCCTTCAAAACTTAACTAATTTTTTTTTAACTTTAACTTGTTTTCATAGGCATTGAGTTCCTTGCTCTGATGTTACCAAAGCATCATCTGGATTTTGTTTTATATCTATCTGTAATAACAGGACATTGTTTGGCAAGAAAACCCAACGGAGGTGTATGTCTTTTGTATTTTGAAGTCTATGGTACATCATTACAAGTATCCTGTTATTAATCATCCCTGACAACATCAGGTGTGTGTTGGAAGCAGTGCTGTGAATTAGTTAGTTAATTAGTAAAAAAAAAAAAAAAAAAAAAAGGTTTTAGGAATTGTACACACACAGAACAGCAATGACATTTACACAGACAAGATGATACACTCAAATGGAGATTATACATAAATGGGTAACAGTAATGGAGTATACTGAGTAGTATATGTATATAAACAAATTGCCAAACACACCTGCATTTTCTGGCTCCGTGAGGCTGGTCCCCCCTCCATCAGTCCCAGGACGTAGAGGCCCATGTTGTACTCACTGCCCCCTCGGAGGCTGAAGCCGAAGCCTGAGGGTCCACGATCCAGGTCCACACTGTAATACCTGGAGTCACGCTGGGAGACAAGGGCGGAGAGAGTCAGAGGGAAGACTGATAATCATCACTGCAGGATGGATCACATACTGGCAGTGGATAAGATATGCTTATGACTATGACACGCACCTTTGGACGTGACCTCTGACCTTTTCTGCTTTTGTGACCGGGGTCATATTCATTTGCTTCTGAAAGGCTAGAAGTGTCTGGAGGAGATGAAGTTTGAGATTAGATTATAAATTGAGAGCCAGCCTACTGTATATATTTGTGTGTATGTGTTCACTGGATGTTTATGTCTATGCTTACAGGTGCTTGGACGGGGGACAATGGTGAGCCGTAGAGTATTTCCAACTCTGCGAAGTATCTGAGCAAGCTCTCGATGAGGCAGAGTCACCACTGAGTGTCCTTCTACCGCCTCCAGTCGATCTCCAGGCCGGATCTGCCCACTCTTGGCTGCTGGGCTGCCTCGACGGACCGTCACAAACCGGTGAGGGAGAAGAGAGGCAGCTGAGGAGAGGACAAAAGATATCAAACTGTTACTTACTCCTACTTTTAATGACATGTTGCTTGAATTAGTTGTTGAGTTGTTCATACTGGACTCAACTACAGCTGCAGCAGGAACATGAAACTCCAGCTCCAGCTCCAAAACTTTGCTTTTAACTGAAGGCAGTTAGTAATAAGAGGGGTGAAATGTAGATACATTTAAAAACAGGAAGCTTTATCTCACTTGTATATATGCCAGATTTCCTAGAACAAGCCGTAATTAAGCTTTGGATTGTTTTTGGCAGGGTTTACTTTATAAATTACTTTCCACAGAAGCTTTTATATACACCTCCCCCAACTATCTCCTTGAACTACTCTCCTTTTCTCCTTCATCTTCTGATCTATCAATCTATCTCTCCATCTGCTGACACACTGTCAGATGAACTGTTGTTCGCTGTTCAATAATTTGTCTTGCTCCTCTAGAGCAAACTGCCATGAAGCGCGAGATTTCCAGCAATATTTTCCTGTCCTGAATCTGTCAAACTCCACATAACAACAGACTTTAGATGTTTACACTTCGGTTTATACAGCGTCAGTGATTCTTACTCTTGCTCTTCTAAGATCCCCAAACTTGCAGACTGTCTGCACTGGTATGCCACTGGAATACAAAACACACACTCACACAGCAATACTTGCTGGCACCACAAAATATCTTTTTCTCTGTGTGGGAAGAGGCTGGCCGTTCTCTCCCTGCCCTTGCACCACTAACACCAAGAAAACACACCACATATAGTAACTCCAACAGGAGTGTGAAGCAGATAATGTGCAAGAGTGTTCTGGTCTTTTGTGCAATTCAACTGACTTTTGAATTGAAGAGAAGATACAAAACACAATGTGAGGATGGAGAATTAGCCTCATCATTAACTCACTTTGTCTTATCTTCTGTACAAAGAGATCACTCACAATTAAGCTGAGCGGTCAGTATCTAAGGTTGATGAGAAAGATATTAAACAGCCTAAAAATAAATTTGCTTCCATTAATCTTCTGCACCAACTAAAAAAGCTTCTTACAGTTTTTAGCTGGACAGTCTGTCTCTGTCTGCTTAGACTTCAAATTCTATCTTCTGCTCCTCTCTCTGTGTCTTAGTAAACCTATTACTCTCCCCATGACCCCTCTTTCAGGGTATGCTGTGCTTTGGTGACAGCTGGCCCCTCTAGAGTCTTGCCAGTGGCCTTATGTAACCCATCAGGCAGTATAAACATTTTGAGACTCTCATTCAGCCTAGGTACATGACTGTCCCTTCAGTCTACATCCCTCCAGGATAAAAATAGCATGTTTAAATTACCTCATAGAGTGAATTGAAATGATTGTTAACAGATTAAAATAGCAATTAGGGGGTTAGGACTATGTCATATGACATGGAGTGTATGTCACATTGGGATGATGATCCCATTAAAAGGTACAGCCTATAATTCAAAGCCCAGAGACACATCTCCAATCTGTCTGGGCGTAATCTGGGTGACCCAGGCAGAAACGGCAATCAGGTCAAATCAAAGCCAAGGCAGCTTTGCAAATAGTCTTCTTATCATGCATAATACATCACTCGAACATCAACAGTCGCCAAACACATGAATACACATGCAACAGCCATGCTCACACGCACACAGCACCGTTTTAGCACACACACACACAGACACACGGTGACTCACACGCAGAGGGATTGGGACAGATGTACTCAGCCACACATGCACAAACACACATGCTTAAACTACACACAGATGCATCCAAATGGACTGCTTTATATTGTTGTGTCTTTTCCTCTGGCTCTCCATGTTCTCCTGTCCAGAGTAATCCCACTGCGGTATGCCCAGCAGCCAGCGAGCCAGCCTCTGACGCGCTGCACTGATCACTGCTCCGGAGTGGTAGCAGTACCCCCCCCCCCTTCCCTCCCTGCCATCGTAAAATCCCCCTCTGCAGCTCAGATGCATCGGCCCGTGCAGACATCCCCACAGCAGCCTGCAGATGCCTACTACATGTCGGAGAGAGTGGGGGAGAGAGCACTGTTGATCTTTGGCAGGATCATTCACACAGCAGTGTATGTGCAGGTTAGTAATGCTGGAGTCAGCATTGCTAAAACTATCTGATAAATCCATTCATGTGGCTCACTAATGGCTCTAATACACAGACCATTACCACATCATGTCATGTGCTGCTTTAAGCCAGGCTGGGTTAAAAAAAAACAAAAAAAAACATGTTATATTCTCTCTCTCATCTCTCGTTGTCTCTGCAGACATCAGTGAGAATAACAGGAAAAATAATCATACTACAAACCTCTCACAGCATCAGCTTCTGAGATCTAGAAACGTGTGAGCTCGTGGAGCTAACTTTCATACAGCCAAAGTCAACACACCTGACCGAGCAAACTTCAGAGTGCAACACAGATTATAAAACCTCTCACTCATGCAAAAAGCTAAACGTGAAACACTGCACCAAACCGGTACCCTCCCCATTTTTGGTAAATATAAAAATAAGAATTGGAGCAAATAATTACGTTTGGACTCCTTCACAGTTTTCAAAGCAGACTGTAGTCTCTCCAGCATGGCTCTTTCATTAGCAGAATGAAAAACAAACAAAAAAAAGATAAAAAAGTCCTATATTCCGTTTCAGGAGGATTCAAAGGTGTTGAGATTCACATATGACGGTCAACAGGAACTAAAACGCAGGTTTGCTGTCCCCTCTGTTGATCCTATGCGAGGGAAATGCTCAGCATAGCATTTCTATTAGGCATTCAGAGAACGATGGGGAGAGTGGGAAGTGGGAGGGAGGGAGAGGGAGAGATAGAGAGAGAGAGAGAGAGAGAGAGAGAGAGGGAGAGTTTTAATCTTTTGAAAAACCAGACTGGACGCTTTTACTGCAGAGTAAAAGGAGTGTGTGAGAGAGAGAGAATGAGGGAGAGGGTGGGCGGGAGCTCGTGAGGGAGAGAGGGAGAGAAGAGCGGTGGAAGGAAAGACTGATGAGTGGAGGAGAAAGAGAGAGATGGGAGGAGGAAATGATAGAGGAAAAAGGGGGATATGAAGAGACAAAGGGGACGTGTTTCTGAGAAATGAAGAGGGAGCATAAGGACACGATGGAGAGGTTTGAGGAGGGAAGGTTGGAGGGAAGGAGGTTCTCTGTGCTGCGGACACAGGTGCACCAATAACCTTAATCTCACCATGAAAACATCAATGTGTGTTCGCTCAGGCCATAAAGCAAATTGAACTGCATCAAAATAAAACAGCGCAGCATATACAAGACATGGGAAGGAGAGAGGGGGTAATACATCATAGGGATGTTGCAGTTATCCTCCTATCCTCCTATATCCTCCTACAGGATGTGTTCACTTCCCACACAGAACATAAACAAGCATCAATGACCAGTCAGGTCAGAATGAATGGAGAAGCATGAAGCACAGAGTGAGACAGACTTTAAACAAAAGAGACATCACAGCTCATAAATTGAATTATAAAAGAGCACAGACACTTTCAAAACCTGTAAATAACCTGTAAACTTCTCAAAGAAATACTCTCATTTGTTTTCATGCCAAGAGTTAGATAAGAAGATCGATACCACTCTCATGTCTGTATGATTATTATGGTTTGTTTGTTTAATCAATACAAAAATTCAAGTGTAAAAATGACACATAGATTAATGAGGTAGTTAGCTTTAAAGGTGCTAGTAGGGGGATCTTTTATCGTTGGACAGAGCTAGGCTAGCTGTTTCCCACTGTCTCCAGTCTTTATGCTAGGCTAAGCTAATCAGCTGATGTCTCCAGTGTCATATTTACAGTACCGAATAGTATCAATCCTCTCATCTAACTCTAGGCAAAAAAGTGAACAAGCAAACTTCCCAAAATGTACAACTATTTATTCAATAAGTCAGGCCATCAGACATTTTGCATGAGATTCTGAATATTGATCCCAAAGACAATCACCCTCTTCCTCTGGAACAAAATGTTAAACTGTGGGCACAGTAACAAAGGTACAAATGTTTGTATAAGTGAAACATGAGGCACTGCAAGATCCTCAGAGAGAGACTCAGAACTCTTCCAGACTCTTCACTAGCTTCCAATGAAGAGAGAATAGACTGCTTATAAATCTCTTAATGGCTTATTACCAAAATACATCTCTTGACTATTTTTTACCCATATGAACACTCTCTGCCTCTCAGGTCATCAGGTAGAGGGGCTGCTAACTGTTCCCAGAGTGCAGGGTTTTTTAATGGTTTTACAGGTGGTTAACTGAAGTAATGAGATGCAAATGAGATCAGATGAGATCAAGATATGCAACTTTGAAGATGGTTTCTTAATCTTAGTGGTAGGATTTTTCAAAAAGGAAACTAAGTTGTGGCCACCAAACAAACACCCAAATGCCTCATGGGTAGTGTATTTGTGTTTAGATTTTCAGAAAACAGAAAATGTACACTCAAACATTGTGCCCTAAGTTCAGTTCATGATAAGCAAGTCATGGAAAAATAGTAGATGCCAAGATTGATTTCCTTCAACAATGTAAATAAAACCAACCTGGGATAAAAACAAGAAGAAGAGGGTTAATGCATCGTGACTCATCTGGTGGCATGTGGCCATGGTGCCCACTTTTTAATCTGTAATTAGCTAATGGTGCATCAGTCCACAAGGGCATCCAAATGAAACGTGTTTCCCTGGGCAGGTAACCAAATGGTTCTATTGGGCCAGAAAAGTTCAGCTAATGTCCCTCAAGCTTTACTTAAGATTCTTTGATGGAAAACATTCAGTCTTATAAAACCAAAGTGTGTTATATTCAAAACATTTTAACTTAATACACATGGTGAAAAATACAATTCATCACTTGTTGGCTCTCACCTTTGCCATTCTCCACATCCTGAGAAGCAATGACGAACCCAAAGCCCTCTCCCGGCTTTCTCCTGAGCTCCACATCAAACCCTCGTAGTGGCCGAGTTCGTTCACCACCCTGCCTCACTGCACCTGAATCAGGCACTGTGACACCACCCGCCTCATCCTCCAGGCCCGTGTTGATCCAGTCTTTGGGCTCCATCGTCAGTGTCACCGGAATCGACTCCAGGAAACTGGTGCTCTGAATCAGCGAGGAATGTGTTGGGGCTGGGGAGGGAGGAGTGCTGATGGAAGTGCGGGGCATAGGCAACGCTTCTGGGAGCACACTGGAGTCATCTGAGCCAACAGGTGGAGGAGGGGGGCGGAGAAGAGGCGGGGGAAGTCTCCGAATAGAGCCGGGGGAGATGGCTGAATGACAGACGCCTAATGATGAGAGAAAAAATAACCATGAGATGAAAACAAAACATGGCTGTCAGTTACTAAAAATCAGTGACTCTGAAACGAAAGTGAATCATTTACCTCCTCTGTAAACCAATAAGATGACTTCTCCCTGTTTGGTGTGTTCTTGGAGGACTGTTTGTACCTGTGAACAAACATACAAGTATGTTGTGATTAATTCTTTCATTGAACTGATTACAACTCATGCACCCTGTGACAAAGGCTTACTTCCATCCTATTTAGTCCCCAGTTACCTGTGCAAAGCTAAGACTCTGGACATCAGCTCCATTGATTTTGACAATAGCATCCCCTGGCTGCAGAGAGTTGCACTGCTTCCGGTCCCAGACTCTCTTCACTATAGTTATCCTGCCTCCCGGACCACCAGCCGTAACGCTGAAGCCGAGGCCTCTGTCTCCTTCAATCTGGGCCAAGGCCACCGGTACCAGCTCGCCTCCGCTGCCAAGTCCACTGCCCACACTCATCGCCCCAGGAGAGGACACACTGCTGGGACTCGCAGTGGGGCTGGTGTTGCTATGGAAACCGTTGAAGGTGCGGTGATGGGGGTTGTCAGGGGTGGGAGGGGGTCTGAGGTGCGAGGTCTGCGGTGTAAAAAGGCGGGAGTGAGCGCTGCGGGGGCCTCCGGGAGAGGATGACGGCCTCCTGGGCGACTGAGGCAGGGGCAGCCGTGACCCCGAGAGGGTGCAGGTGGACAGGTCGCTCTCTGACGACTTGGATGTGCCGTAACGTAAAGGATGAGGGGGTGCTGAGAGGGAGTTATTGTTGTGATTACGAATCATTGATGCCCTGATGAGGAAGAGGAAGGCAAATTAAAATCAATAGGTAATAAGTCTTTGCTTTGACACATATTCTTATCCTGAAATGAGTTGCAACTAATGATTATCTTCATTTTCGATAAATCAATTATCCAAATAGTTGCTGAACAATTGTTGCAGCTCTAAAGGGATGAACGTGTAGGATACATTAGATTCTTCTGGTACTGGTACTCCCATTTCTGCCCTGCCACCTCAGCCTGGTACAGTATAACTCTGCAGTTATAAATAAGAACAAAAGGGAACTAGTAAAAATGCAACCACCAGAATCCTTTGATCATTATTGGGTTAAATCTCATGTCTCACTGAGTCACATTTAAGACAGACAGATCTGTCTTAATTTGAAAAAGTGAATTTTAAATACAGGTGAACTCTCAAATGATACTTAAATCCAATACTAATCAGAATTGCTTCCAATTCACTGCAATCAACCACTAATTATTTTAATTGAACACTTAAAAAAGAGGCATTAAAAATTCAAATTAATGCTGTTCAGTCTCTGCAGGCACTGATCCATGTCTGTGTTGGTGTTACCTGTGTGAACCAATCGCAGAGACAACTTCACTGTCACTCTGGCTGGCCAGGGTTTGATCGAGTGACTGCAGCCTGGCTAAACTTCTCAGGGAACGTGGTGGGCGCACGGGGGGTGAAGAGGCGGCATTGCTCATGCTGGAGCGTCTGTATGAGGGCGGCTGTCTGATGGCGAAAGACATTGCATTTCCATTTGCATCTAGAGTCACCCCTGGTTCCATGTAGCTTCCGTCACTGTGGACCCCATTAAAGTTAAAGTGCTGCTGGGTACGGGGAGTGGGTGTTGGGAGGCGAGGCAGCTGGTGAAGAGGCTGAGGCTGGGTGGTGGTGGGTGGTAGGATGGGGTCCCCGCTGTCCAGTAGCCTTGGCGGGGGCTGCTTGGGACAACCGTCAGGGTTGTAGAGCATGGGATAGCCTCTTCTAACCTCGACATCCACGCTGTGGCCCACAGGCACAGACTTGAGCATCTCTACCACCTCTTTGTGAGACACTCCCAACACACAGACGTCATTGATGTACACCAGGAGGTCCGCTAATAAACCACAATAAACCATAAAGGAAAGCACATGGATAGACATCATTAAAACACATTTATTACAACCCTTTGCATTTTTATTTATCTGTAGCAAACGTACACACCTTTGTACCTGTTTTAACTTTTTTGACCATTTTCATATGCTTGAGTGTGCAGATGAGTGTAGTTTGCAAATGAATAAACGTCTGTGTTTTGTGTGGGTGTGGACTAATCCAACCAACTAATCCCTCTAAACCAGCCTATTAACATATATGAACTAGATCAGTCCCCGCAGAGACAGCCTGTGCTCTGGCTTCCTAGGGTGGTGATATCTGCCTGTAGTGTGTGTGTTTGTGTGCATGTTTGTGTATGTGTGTGTGCTAATGCATGTGTTATGATAGTTAGATTTTGTTGTGCTAGCCTTGAGGATTAAGCAGCGTTTGTGATATACACTTGCAGTGGGAGATCAGAAGATACCCGAATAATCCCAAAGAGTGGAGACAGAGGACTAGAGACATGACTATTAAAACAGATTTCTGATTAAAATATTTTCTGTTTCTATGTTTTGCAAGATTTAGCATAATTACAGTCTGCAGCTATAACAAGTCTATTATTATCACTAATAACATGCCAGAAGTTAATAACTTTTAGCTTGAGATGGATATCTTATTTCAAAGGATTCATCTCACGTATCTTTCTGTACAGCAATACATTTCTGCTAGCTTTCCTGTAAGTGATTGCCCCCAGTTCATTGTATTTTTACCTGTCTTGAGTGCTGAAGGTCCACTTGCAGTCACACTGTAGACCTGGAGGAACTCTCTTGGCCTGCTGCCCCCCACGATATTGAAACCAAACCCTCTGGAGCCCTTAGTCAAGTGTGTGTGCACAGGGAAACCCCGCAGCTCCACAGGCTGGTCTGTGAACCCTGGCAGTCACGGAAATATACAGAAACGGAGAGTCAGACAGAGAGAGAGAGAGAGGATGCGAAAATGATGATGCTTTACAGTCCTGTGTGTTTATACCACTTAATGGTTAGAACTGATGGAAAAGAGAGAGAGTCAGAACACTGCAAACCAATCGCCAGATGGCTTTTAACAAAAAATACTTAATCGACACACACACAAACCAAAGTGTTTGGTGGGAAGATTGCATTAAAAGCAGAATCCATTACAGACTAAAATCAGCAGCCTAATCCATTACACTGACCCAACTCAGTGCTGTAATCTGGGCATTTTTATTTACTGTTTACTGTTACTTTGCGTCATCAAATGTGTGGAAAATGTTACTACACTGATTTTATTTTTCCTTCCTATTTTAGCCCCGTATTAGTAAAGTGGCTGTAGGACCAGCAGTTATCTCAAGCTGTAGTAATTTACACATTGGTCCACACTGGCACATTATGACAGTGTAGCTTTGGGTTTGACTTGTAGCAGATTTCACACAGTCATCCTTTCACATGCAGGCACCTCTGGCCATAATGGCGATTATATCACCGTCTGCTGGTGAGAGGAGTGTACTGCACTTTACTCAGGCTGGAATCACAGCACAATAACAGATGGGTTTCTTACACTTTGCAATCAGCCATGTCAGACAGACACCAGAAACTGCATGATGCCCTTGTTCTTTTAACATTGAGTCATGTGACCAAATTATAAAATGAAGTTACCAGTCACATGCCATCCACGTGTCGACTATGCCAGCCTCAGCAGTGAGTCTGGCTCTTTGCCAGCGGCTCCGAGCTTTAGGCTTTAATCACTTACACATCTCTGTTCAGCTGGAAGCTCATTCCATCTCATTTGACTCGAACAAGCCGGCTGCGTCTGTTACTTCCGTTCTTAACAAATACGTAGCTTCACTGAGGCTGTTCAGCAGTCAAATGTGTCACCACTGTTCAAATAATTACATCCAGAAAGAGAGAAAGAAAGAAACAAAAGAGGCTCACATTCATTTTTATAGACGGTCTCCCTGCTTGAGGCTCGAGGACTCTGCCAGCTGGTCCTCTTTGGGTTGCGACTTGGAGAGACAAACGGGGGAAAAGAAAAGAAAAGACACCCTCTTCAGAAACATCGTAGTATTGGATGTAATATGACAGCATCAGAGTATATCACTGTCAGAACAGAGATGAGCCTACATGCAGCTGATAGTCATGACAACTTTTCACAGCAGCTCTACTGTATTCAGAGCATGTTTGGTTTGACATCTTTCCGAGAGTTAAACGAGAAGATCGATACTGCTCCACTACCTGTCCATCAAAAATGAAGCTGGGGCCAGGAGACAATTAGCTAAGCTTAGCATAAAGACTGTGAACAGAGGGAAACAGGATCTGTGTGCAGATAGGAAAATCTGCCTATCTGCACCTCTAAAGCTCAGTAACTAACATGCTATAGCTTCTTTTGTTAATCCATACAAAAGCTAAGAGCAAAGACAACAAGTTGCAGTCTAGGAAGAGTTATGTTCCTGTGAAACAGTGTTTTCTTACCATTCAAATACTGTTTCCTTGAGCTCAGTGGTTAGGCTTAGAGCTTAGGTAGACTGACTGATTGAGTAAGGGTACAGTTGGGTTCGGGTTAAACATAGCAGAAAGTGTCTGGTCGGGGATACGAATACATTTGGGCTCAGGTCACAAATGGGGAAACACAAATTGGTGGCGAAACAAACATAACAATAGCACACACCACAACTTTTTGTTTTTACATTTTTTTTCTTTGAGCGGAATAAACAAATAAAATGTTAAATCAGTGAGCTTTACACATGCTGGTAGGTTTTACCTCCAGATAGAGCCAGGCTAGCTGTTTCCCCGTTTTCAGTCTTTATGCTAAGCTATGCTAACTATCCCCTCGCTTCAGCTTCATATTTAGTGAACAGACAGCGGTATCAATCTCTTCTCATTTAGCTCTGTGCAAGAAAGCGAATGAGCGCATATCCTAAAATGTTGAATTGTTCCTTTAACTGACTTGTGAAGACCAGGTAGACACTCACTCTATGTAATGAGAGTCTCCTGGGTCACTGAAGGCCTGCTCCCAGTGATCAGGCATCACAGCTCTCACCCTGGCACCACTTCTGATGCCAATGATCCCGTTCTCTATGGCACAACCATCCCCGCCGTTGCTGTATGCCCGGGGCCGACCAGGGGAGCGGTGGGTAGGAAGGATGCTGCCGCTGATGCCCGCAGAGCCTCCTGATTATGATAGTGATAAGAAGGAGTGTTAAAAATCTAAACCAAACAGTGACATGTTACCGAGCAGATGCAGAAGGGGAAAAAGTTTCTCCTGCAGTTCATAATGACCTGATGCTGGGAATTCCATTGGGGGTTGTCAGGGAAAAAGTCCTGAGGTCAGCATCTTAGCCCGCTTTGTCCTCCCTCTAAGGAGGCAGAGTGTGTGCCTGTGCATGCCGTGCCACCAGAGGAAGAAAAACAAGCACATTTTCTGCCTCGCTGTCCTTGTAGCTGTCCTTCAGCCGTGAGCTCCAGCATGAATCTGAGCGACGTCGGACATCACATGGGGCGTCCTAAGTCCTGCTGCACACGACGAACCCATCCACCCACACAGTTTCACTTCAGCAAATGACTCAGCAGAGGTCAGAGTGTTGGATGGCTCTCTCCCACTCCTTCCAGCCTGCATCCTGGATTCCCCCCCCCCCCCCCCCCCCCACCCCCAAAAAGTCCTGGCTGCCTGCTGCCCTACCTGCCTGTTTGAAGCACGTCCCTAACTATCTGGATCTCTGCCTGCCTGTGTTCCTCACCTCCCACTCTGCCTACCTCTCTCTTATCTTCTGTACCATTCTGGCTCCCTGCCTCTACCTTTCCTAACACTCAGCCTCCCTACCTACCTCCATCCCCACAACCCTGTGTCGCTGCCTTGCTCTCTTACCCCACTCATCTAATCTCACACCCTCCTTCTGTTCAGCTCTTGTGCTCTAGTTTCTTGCTACGATCACTTCTCCAACACTGCCTTCATAAGTAATAACTACATAACATGAAGGTAACTAAGTAGAACAAACACCGTACCTGTACTTGGTACTTGAACTTTACTGTTTCCATTTTATACTTTATACTACACTAATACTGTACATTTATTTGACTGAGTTACTTGACTGAGTTACTTTGCAGATCAAGATTAAAATCTATATAAAACAACATATCATAACCTCATGAAATACAATGCATCAATGTCTGTGAGTTTTAGCATTAACATCAGCATCAGCAGTAAAATACTGCTCTCACACCGATCGATTTTAACAACCAAAAAATATAAATTAATATATCAGTCACAGGGGACATTTACATTGATACTAGCCATTTTGCTAATAATAATTCTGTACTTTTACTACAGAAGGATTTTGAGTGAATGGCTTTAATAACTTTAAATGGAGAATTTTTTTTTCTTGAGTAAAGGAAATGAATACTTCTTCCACCACTGGTGAGTAATAAGCCTTTAAAGCCATTTAGTTAACATATCTGGTATCTGAGTCATCCATCACATCTAAAATTAAAAGGTTTCTTTATCACAGAGAAAAAAAATTTCTCTGACAACCCTGTGTTGGCTATTCCAGTATTAGGAGAGCTTAGTGACTTAATTCAAACACTTTCTACATCCTTATCACACGATTTCCTCAGTTTTTTCCCTCTCACCTCCCCGTGTGCAAATTTGCCTATCAGCTTACATCCTCGCCTGCTCGACCTAAGGCATGCTGACCTTCCTTTGGATTTGAACCAGCAATCGATGAGGCCACAGCCCCTCTGAGAGTTTAGAGCATACTAATCGTGCTAAAGATTGATTAATTTGTGTATCAGAGACTGGAGCTATAGATAGGGGGACAATGCAGCATTTAGCTGCTGGCCACTATGCAGGGCTTAACAGACACGTCTCCTACTGTCAATATGCCTTTCAATCTTCAACCACAACGAAGGCCCCAGTAGCTATGTAAAAATCCATCTATGCTATTATAAATCACTGTATTTGCAACTTTATAAACCAATTACCTCTTGGTTTGTCTTCTAATTTATATTTGTGCCTTTGCCCACACATGCTGTCATATAAAACAGGTTTCAGAGACACTTGCCTGAGAGGCCGGAGTCGTCCTCGCTGTTTTCTCCGTCCTCTGCAGCCTTCTCCAGGTTGCTGAGCGATTTGCTGCGTGTGCGGAAGTTTCTGAGCAGGTTGCGGTGTTCCTGGTAGGTGATGGGGGGGCTGTCTGCGCTGATGTGAACGGGCCGAGGTGTGCCGTAGTAATTCCCTGAGACAGAGAAGGGCAGGAGAAAGACATCTTGCATTAAGAAATGGAAACCGCATGAACATATCAGACAATACAGTGAGTGAACTTTTCATTTGGTCATAACATCACAACTGATATGTAAAGTGGAAATGCCCTTTGTTGCAAACAAAATCTATTGCCATATAAATCTAAGGAGCCATAACAGTGCACAGTCTGCATTAACATGTTACTGAGATACAAATTGAGTTAAACAAAAGATTTAATATTCAAATATTCAGGAGCAGAGCAGGGTTATGTTATTATAGACAAAACAGCACATACTACATGCCTGTATGTATGTGCATTATGTATTCCCCTGAGATCACAGACTGTATAAGTTCTATAGTGTCAATTTGAGCCATCTGCTCCAGCTGCTTAAGAAGAAATGAAATTACCTCCACCCCTCCATTTGGCTCACGGAGCTCAAAATGGGTTGAGGAGAAACATTAGATTAGTGAACTCGGCAACAAGGTCACCAGCCGTCACCATTTACTGCAGTTTCTGCAGGCTACTGCATGCACGGTGCAGCCGATACTCCTGATTGCTTTGCTTTGGCGATGTGTCTGTCAATGTCACATGTAAGGCAGGGGAGGATGACATTTATTGCTCCCATTAAACTCTTATAAATTATGGATGCTAATGTATGGAGGCTTTTTAATCAGAGGCACCACTCTGACCCTTACGAGGGGAGGAGTCTGCAGGGTAGATACGAGGTGAGCAACACCTGATGGCATTAATATGCCAGGCAGGGCTTTAGACTTTGCAACTGACTGCCCCCCCTATCATTAATTATGTAAACCTCATTAATCACAGGAAAAGTATTCTTTAAAAGGAGCAGTTTGACATTTTGGGAAATATGCTTATTCAATTTCTTGGCAGGAGTTACATTAGAACATCGATACCACTGCATGGTAAATATGAAGCTACAGCTAGCAGCCTGTTGGCTTAGCTTAGCATTAAGATTGGAATCAAGGGGAAACAGCTAGCCTGGCTCAGTCCAAAAGTAACAAAAGCGGTTTCCCTCTTTTTCCGGTCTTTATGATAAGCTAAGCTAACTGGTCGCCAGCTGTAGCATCATATTTACGGCTACACATGAGAGTGAGACAGGAAATATGTTCTTTTCTAGCTCTTGCCAAGAAAGTGAATTAGCATGTTTCCCAAACGATCAAACTATTTCTTTCACGTACTTTCAGGTTGCCAGGTCAGTTAGTTAAAATGTTCAACTCATTCACCTTTGAACTTGCCACTCTCAAGCAGTGCTCCTGACTCCTCCAAGGAGAAGAACTCCTCAATGGAGACAAAGTTGTAGTCCACCCCTGAGATTTCCCCGTCTCTGGGCTGCCTCGTTGTACCTGGGAGAAGGAGACAACAGGACATACTGTGTCAGACGTCAGAGCCATGAGGTTAGAAATACTGCCAGCTCCACTGTGGATAATATGTCAATTAATCAAGGTCTTTTCCTCTCATTGGGAGTTATCAATCTGAGTTCAGTGTTTAAACAAAGCGGCAACTCAGCAAACTATAAATAGTCCAAGCATTAGTTTGACAAATTACATAGCGATAGTCCAGCAAAACATAACACCCTAATGGCTCTGTAGTGGCTGTATTTAATGTAATAAACAATCCCAAGAAGACAAAACAAATTTAAGTAGAGCATAAATTCATAGCAACAATTAACAAGTGAGCGCTTTAATTACAGCACTTACAAAATTTACTCTTTGTTGTGAAGAGCATGATGATGTGTGGCAGTGGTATTTACCAAAGCCTCTTTAATATGAACAGATCAGTAAGAACAAAATTAAACATTAATGGGGCAGTGTGAAAGTCTTAAAGTCTTTCTATCACTATTGCAAAGATGGAGCACTCAGATGATCAATGATCTGTCATCATAATTGATTCACACTGACCTTGGCCTGGAAGAGAGCAGTGAGTCCAAACCACAGCAGGAAAAGCATACAACATCATCACAGGCTAAGGAAAGTATTTTGACCCAGGCTTCCAAGATCTCCTAACCATTAAATATATGTGCATGTACAGGCATGTAGTGTGAAATATGTCACATTTTTATAGTACAAGTCTGGTGGAATAATTTAATTTGCAAACTAGACGACAAGGCGCCCGTTCTGACCTTAAGACAAGTAATTCCTCTCCCAAGACAAAATCCACACCAAGCCCAAACTAAGGACAAATCTCTGTCCTTCTCCTGGAGGACCACATGTGATGTCAGTGTGAAGCCGGCAGGAGGGAGTCACACCCAGCTACCCAATAAAACCCATGATTAATGCACTGCTGTCCTGGGAGCAGCTCTCCCAGCCACAATGACACATGCAGGACTGTACAGAGCATGCACACACACACTGCTGAAAAAACTCACTACACTACAGTCAACACACAAACACACATACGTAGACACAGAGGACTGGACACACATAAACATTGGAGAGAATGAGACATCCCCCTCAGCCTGACCTCATCTTTCTGTAAAACAAAGTGTGTTTACTGTACAGTGTCCTGATCATTTTGTCCCAGCAGTTGTAATACTATTTTTGTTGGGCTGAATCCTGCATTCTCTGACCACTTTGCATCACAAAAGTAAATGCAAAAAGCAATAGTCATGGCTTTAGTGTATGTTTATACACAGACCTATGAAAAACCGCAAAAACATTCATAGATGTTGAGTTTGGGGCTGTTTTTTTATTATTGATTAAGATGATCAAGCTTAAGCTGACTGGATGACCGACCCAAGGATATTCAGTTCATCACAGAAGCAAACAACAAATATTGGGATTGAGATGGTGGAATCGCAGATTTTTTGGCAATTTTCCTTTAAAAGTTCGATATTTAACACTTTTCTGGTGTTTTATTTGATGTTTTGATATCCATAAGAAGATATATTTGTGGTTTTAAGTACCAAAAGCAATCTCAGTATAGTTGTAGATCTCATCTCTCATGCTTGCTAGCTAAGCAACGGAATGACTGTTTGGTGTTGTGTTGTTAATAAAGTTAAAACAACAGCAAGAAAATAAAGAGCTGCTTTTTACTCAAAAAAGACATGGAAATCTCACTTTCTACAATATATTACCAAAAACAAGTAAATCAATTATCAAAATTGCAGTTGACTAATTTTCTGTTCATCGACTCATCGATTGATCAACCAATCAATCAGGTTTTCCTGTGTGGGACAGTTTTCTCCAGAGAAGTTTGACGCTCACTTCCTGGCTAATTATGAAACTGTCTTTTGTGCTTTTAAAAGACAATGAGGAGAGCTGATGTGATTGGCTCTTCTAAACTCCACCTGCTGATACTATAATGTAACAGTGCAGCCTTTTTTTCCCCATGCAGCACCAAGGTTGCATTCACACCTCTGGTCCCCAGAAATTGCAAACATGGACTGTCCACACCCATCTCTGCTTGCAACCCAATTTTGTGCTTGCACCCAGTTAAAAGGAAATTAGAGGTCTCTATGTCTAATTAAAGATCGGATAGTAAATCTCCTGACGACACCTGACATGTGTGTAATTCTTCTCCTCCCCTCAGGACACACAGTATCTCTCTAGCTGATATGGTGTGAGGCAGGGATTCATTATCTATGCACCCTCCTTGGAGATATATATGACATGTCAGTGCAGGGGGGGGGGGGCAGGATGGATTATTGACATCTTCTTCTTCCCCGCCTGTCCCTGTAGGCGCCGCACACTGATCCCCTGGGACTGTGGCTGAGCTCGGGAGTGAGAAGGTAATTACACAGAACTCTGTATCAACACCCAGAGAGAGCTGTCTGTCAAGATCACCGCACACAAATAACTAACAATGAATCCCATAGTTGAAAAGGCCACAGACGGTCTGCCTGACGGCGCAGCGGCGAGCATATCAGAATAACTAAATGATGATGTTTCTTATCTCTGACTCACTCTGAAGACAATTAGAAAAGTCTTTTGTGGAGGAGACGGAGACACAGTCAGTCTTGATGACATTGGCTCCGAATCATCCAAGGGCACATGTACAAATGGTTACTGCGATTATACAAATATGGATGGGAAAGTTCAGGAGGGTAATGTGATGTCTGCAAACCCTGCACACAGAAAATAATGATACGACTGAAGAGAGAGAAAAGAGGGTAATTTTCAAATGCTTGAAATAGAAAGCTGTTATATAAGACTTACGGTACACTAGTTTACACATATAGCTGCTCCACAAGCTACACAGTAAGCCCTCTATCTGCCTCGGTATGAGCGTACAAAGCCATTAGACTGCAGTCAGCCCCTCCTCCACTTTGGCACTGATAGACATTTGCTTTTAATTTAATTCCCCCTCTAGATTATTGATACAGTAGCCTGCATTTACTTAATTCTGTCATTCATTTCCATTTTTATGCACTGCCCTCCTGACTGAGCCTTTGTAATGATATTTCTTGCTCCAGTGCCAGCTCCAACATCAGAGAACATTGTCTCATCAAAAGGATTCAGCGATTGAGATACTCTCTAAATAGCACAGTGGTACGAAGCCACAGTTTCAGAGGAAGACATAGTATCTAAATTTTAAAAAAATGAATCAAACTGAAGCCTTGTCATTTTATCTTTGCAGTTTTGCAATGAAAAACATTTTAAAAAGTTGAACTACAAGCTTCATGAGCCTCTGAGACTAATAAATCTATGTTATGTAATTTAAAGATATAATTATCAACAACTACAAAAAAAAAACAAACAAAAAAAACACTACGACAAAGAGTCTCCTGAAACAGAAGGAAACATACATATGATCCTGAAGGGGGCCACAATGAGCCACTGATGAAAACTCCTCAGCTTTAAGTTCCTGTTACATCACGCACAGCTGCCTCCTCCAAGGAAAAAACAATAAAAGGAAGACAATTCTGCTTCTACACACATGTATCTACAAATGGTCTGAAATGAGACGTGATGGTCTCCGAGCCGTCTTGGGATCAGGGTGGCATGCGTGTGCTGGTATCAGCATGAGAACAACAGCATCTTACTGTGTCATCTCCTGCAGATCAGAGGATTACACACCCAAGGGCTGAGCCTGCCTTGTTGTCACTCTTACTAAAAGAAAGCACTCAGAGATGGGGAGTTGGTAAAAGTTGGACACCAACAGCAAGGGAAGGCTGGACTGCTTTATGTAATATAATACAATATCTTGTCAATGAATATAATTCATCTCTGACAACCCTCCACTATCATGCTATTCTGATTAGAAAATGACTGAAAGCAGAATTTATTTTGGCAATTCACTCTCTGAGCAGCTGCTTGTACACGTAACAGGATGCTACGCAATCATGGCTAAGTAATGAGGAAGCTTACTATGCATACAGCTGCAATTACACCATCATATGAATATGCATATTGTTTACTAAGAGAGCCTGTTTTAGCTTCCTCGCACCATCCCTGTGAGTTTTGACCTGTGCCTTGTTCTCTCAGCGAGTGTGTTGGTGGCGTTGTGGCAGACTGTCCCGTATGACCTACTTCCCGGACTAAAGGAGAGATTAGCAACAACTCCACACACTCACAGCAAGGTTAAGACTACAGACACACTTGGTGGTCTATCTCTTTTACACCCCCACCTGAAAAAGAAAAAAAAACACACACACACATCAGACAACAGACACAATGCAAGCCAGAGAATTACATTGCAAAACCCACAGGCATCCTCCCAGAAACACACTACTCTGCTGTTATAACCTCTAGCTGTTTCCAGTGACGTCATATTATAGAGGATTAAGATAGCAACAGATGTACTACAACTAGCTGCCTTTGGCTGCCATTGTGCTTGATTTTATTCATAAGCATCAAAATGAAACTGGCTGTGCGGACGACAGGCCTCCTTTTCAGGGCGATCATACAGAAACTGTGAGAATAAAAAGAATGTGTCAAACAGAGCTACCATCAGATGCACCACCACCCTACCACCACCCAAACAAAAAGAGAAATAGCCTGGAGCACGGGGGTGAGGATTGTAAGGGGGGAGACTGCAACTGAGGATAAACCCAGTGTTGTGACAATACAGGCTGTTGCTATGGAAATGTCCAAACTGATTGCACTTTTGGCATTTTCTGTCTCGCTCAACACCCTGATAGTGTTTTTTTTTGTTTTTTTTAATTATTACATTAAATCACCTCAGGTCTGCTTGCATACATTGACAGAGGAAAGTGTGGAAAACAGCTCTATCGCCAATTAACACCCAGATATTTGCATAGGCAACCATGAAATGTGTTACCAAAGAATTAATGTAGTCAGTAACATGCAGAGGAGGTCTGCACAGGAGGACTGAAGAACATGAAACTGGAGCAGATGAGACAAGATACACAAAGGCAAGGTGTGCAGTGAAACGCAGTAGCTTATATTGAAGGTGAGAGCAGAAGCACAAAACAGGACTTACAAGGTACAGCGCGGAGGTAGAGGTTCTCTCGGATGACCTGCTGAAGCTGGCTGTCCACTGAGCCAGGTGTGAAGCACTTACTCAGATACAACCTGAGATCCTTGCACAATGTGGAGCCTGAGGGAAGGGCAAAAGTAACAAGTAAAGCATGGGGAGGGCGGGCAGAGACAGAATGGCATCAGCTCTGTAAGCACAAACAGTCTGATGGTGTATGTTTACTCTTTAGATTTGTTTGTAGAGGCTGAAATTTATTTTAACTGATAACATTTACTTCTGCCGGGCTCGATTTAACACCATCACTTTACGACCTTAGACTTTCACATTCACACCTATACTGATGTTTCTGTATCACTTCATATACTGTAGATCCTGAGTGTGTTTTCCCTGAGTACCTCATGCATACATAACAACCAGCTGAGGTTAATTGCTCCAGACAAAACAGTTGAGGCTGTCACCAGGAGAGGCAGAGCTGATCACTGGGGCTCAGTTCCTTCTCTCTGATCTCTTAATATCATCTCAAGTGCTTTATGGCCTCTGATGACAGGCCACTTGCTGTTATGGATGGGCTGAGCGCATCTACAGCTTGTCACTCTGACAGACAACCATTCTGTCGGTGCTTCCCCTGCAGGCTGCAGCCCGCAGTCTGCACCCCTGCCACCCCATACCCCCGCCGTCTGTTACATGGGTTCTGCCCAGTACTGGACTGAATTTGCTGTGTGCTATTAAAAAAAAAAAAAATAAAATAAATAAAAAAACCATCACAGTGATATAACTTTATTAGCGGAGGCAGTCAACCGCATGTACGTATAACTGGCCACATATGGCTGCTGCCTGTAAAGGGAAATGAAACTTGCCGGCTGCTTTTTGGGAGAAGTGATGGGCTTTTGCTCATCATGTCATGAAACAGCTGCTGTTTTCTTGTCTATTGAAGAGCAAAATTCAGACATGAATATCAGCTCAATATCAGATTTTATAACAATTGTTAAATTCATTGTAGATTGTGCAAAAATACTGTATCACATACAAGATCCCATTAAAGTGAAGCAGTCAGATATCAAGGTTAATAGCAATACAAAGAATACCATCTGATGGACAGATCATATCGCTACTATGTGGTTTTCTCCACAGAGCACCAGCATTAGTGCTAAAACCTTTAAACTGCTTCCTGCCTCTGGGGAATGTGGTCTAGTGTCCTGTATTTGAGGGCTGGAGCACAGGGAGTTGTAGTAGTAGTAGTAGTAGGAGTAGGAGGAGGTGTGATACAGCAAGCCGGCGCATCAGCTCATCCATCACTGTCCACACTACATGCAGTCAAGCTGCCCAGGGAGGGCCAGGCAGACTTCAGAAATGATAATGGATCTACCAGCGGCAGAGGGACCAGGAGCAAAGGTCCCCATTTACACCCCTGTGGCCAAATCAGCTATCAATCTAGCGAGCAAGGCCATCGGGAGCCGCAGTCAGGTGACACTCCGGTGACATATTGCTCTGTTCTGAGCCAACAAAGACATCCGTTTCCCCAGCCCCCTGTTCTTAACATCAAGGCCCTTCATGGGTGACAGACAACGTTATCACCACACTCTTGTCATGTGTCATCAGCAATTTTGACCTCCTACCCACATATTGACCGATCGCCTTGACATATCCAGACTAATTGACGAGTGCAAATCAGCATCAGAATGCTACAGGCTGCAGATCTGGCTTGTGAGAGTCAGAGGAGGGTTATTGAGCAAGATTATTATGGATGACAGCTTGGACGCCAGTGTAACAGATTGTTTGGGTGTAGCCTGATGAAGCAAGTGCAATGGTGTGCGACATAAACAGCAACAAGTTAAACTGCCTGCAGGATTAGGGAGAAAATTAAAGATTGAATGAATTATTGTGGGTGACGTGTAATACATAAATGCCAGAAGAAATGAGCACCTATTGTATAATAAGACCTTCTCTTGCCTGTGTGGTGATCATTTACACATCTACCAAAACAATGAGCTGCAGACTAATTTATAGAGGGGTGAGTTAGCATGCTGAATCATACCTGGTGACACAGTTTTAATGCGGATAGGATGGGGGCAGGAGTTGAGAACACCACGGACATCTCCTAATGTCATCCCTAATACAGGTGTCCCCCCAATTTCAAGGATGATATCACCCACTGTGAGTCCGCCCCCGGGAGCCGACGTGACAAAAGGAAACTCTCCATAATCTGCTCCTCCACCAATGGCGATCCCCAGTTCCCCCGACGAGCCTAGCAAGGGGACGAAGCTGTCCTGCACCTTGGAACGCCAGTGCAGCTTCTTCACCGCTGTCTTAGACATGGCAAATGAGCTGGAGAGAAAAGGAAATGGTATCAGAGGGTGAGCAGAAAGTGTGAGACAGTAAAAAAAAGGGTAGCTAGGGAAAGATCCTGTGACTTCAGATAGGAGGGTGTTTTGTTATTTAACCTTTGTCAGCTGTCAGCATCTGAGGACTGGGGAGTTGCAGTGTTTCAGAGCAGAATGTGTAAAAGTCATGAATAATTCCACCTTCACAGGTTAGGATATTTTCTCTGAGACCAAGGTTTGAGGTTTGAACGTCAGAACACAACATGGGAGCTGGTCCTTTGTTTTATGCAAACATACTATGGCACAGTGCATGACTGTCCAACCAAAAGACACAGGGACATGGCTGACGTTTTATTGTCATGTACACACACATGATGGAGTTTGCGCACATTCCACCACATCCTCTGTCACATGGGAAAATCTAGTTTGCGTTCGATAAAGGTACGGGTCATTGAATGCACACACATTTTGACAGGCAATCTGAGAACCTGTACGGCTGAACACCAGAGTCATTTCTGTATCTACAGAGATGCATGACGCTTTCACTGGAAAATGGATTTTTATAGATTTGTCTGGACAGTGACTAATTACCTTGTTTGTCTGCCTACTGTATTCCTCAGGACAGACTCTCCTATTGTCTGCTCACAGACACAGCATGTTGCGTGAACAAAAAGGTGAGATGCCTCACGGCAAAGCTGTTCTGAAAATAATGTTCTTCTGCAGCATGCTTTCCGGTGAGCAGCTGTGTGTCTGTGTGTGTGGGCTGAGGATGTAGCTGACACATTTGAGACGTCCGTGATGTGACAGCGGTGATGTCCGGAGAGAGCGGTCAATGTTGCTCTGACATTATCAGAGCAGTTCTGTCACCTTTACAGACACGACAACAGAGACACACAAGACAGAGTAACAGAACCACAACATGTAGACAATATGACAGGAAAAGCTTATTATTGAATAAATAGTTCTAAATTTTAGGAGATACACTAATTAATTTTCTTGTGGAGAGTAAGATGAAAAGATTGATACTATTCTCATGTCTGTCGGCTCAATATGAAGCTGGAGACAGGAGATAGTTAGCTTAGCTTAGCTTAGCTTAGCTTAGCTTAGCTTAGCATAAAGACTGGAAACTGGAAACAACTAGCCTGGCTCTGTCTAAAGGTAACAAAATGAGATGGGCTAGCTAGCTGGTTAACATGCTAATTTCAGTAGAAGAAAAGATGTGATAGAGAGAAGAGTTGACATTGGCATTGCTTTTCACCACTGGAGACAGCTCTAGGTGAGTAAAGGAATGAAGTTTGATGCTGAACTTGCAATGTTTCTTCTAGAGCAGACTGATAATGCTAATGCTAGCTATGTAGCAATAGCAAAGCTTTCAAAAAGCTCCTTTAAATGTCCTGGTAGGCAGATTTCATTACCTTTGGACAGAGCCAGGCTTGTTGATCCCCGTTTCCATTCTTTATGCCAAGCAAAGGTAACTGACTCCTAACTCATTCTTAATTTTTAGCATACAGACATGGTAGTGATAGGCTATCAGTCTTCACAACAGCTAATAGGTTCATTTCCCAAAATGTCTCCTATTCCTTGTATCTTACTTTGTAACACCTATGCTAATACAAACTAGCTCAAATACATGGAATGAATGGAAAATAGAGATCTCCAGTTCCATTGTGGTCAGGAGATTAGCAATTACACATCACGATGCAATCCTCTTAAATGACTGTACGACTATGATAACCCTCGGCTGGATGGGGATAACACGCCCAGGGCTTTCCTCAGTGCAAGGCCAGCCCTTTCGGGAGCACCCTGAATCCTTTGGCCCAGCAGGCCTAATGAGACTGCTTTAAAGTGTGAGAGAAGGACAGGATGTAAGTAATCCTTTCCACTTGACTGGTCATTCGACTGGCAGATCTGACAGAGAGCCTCTTCTTCTATCCTCTCTCCAACTGCCCAGCCAAAAGAGGGGGTCTCTGGTGGGGTTTTTTTATGTAAAGAGATGGACAAATGAGGAAGAGGAAGGCAGAGAGTGGACATTTTAAAAGATAAAAGCAGAAGTAGAGTGAAGGTAAAATGTTTAACAATTAAATACAGATAAAATTGTGCATGATTTTTCTCCCATTCTTTGAGAGTAGTGGAGAAAAAAGGAAAGTACAGATAGAGACAGAGAGGCGCCACACAGCCTGTGGTTGGCGTAAGACTCACTTGTTTGACCTTGCAGGACTTCAGCTCAGGCGACATGAGTCAGATTTTGGAAAACGGTTGAGTTGGTTGCCACAACATTGAGAACCCAAAAACCCACAACCTGCATTTTAAGCCTTGGTTCAAAGCCAACGGCCGTCACCATTGCTCTACTGCATTCGAGTAAACACGATCAAACAAGTGATGTTATTTACACCACTATGTTTAAACCTGAAATTGTGCTTATCGTTTCATCCTTGCCAAACAGTGCCCCCAGTCCCTCTCAGTCTACCCCACTGTGAAACCTTCTGCAGCAACATTGTCGACCTGCTTCCCCAAAGCCAGCCAGCCAGCCATCCACCCACACAGAAAACACAGTAATACAACATGCATTTATTATGTTGTGAAAAGAGAACAAAAAAACAAAAGCATCTACTCTTTCCATTTAATCATACAAAACATACTCCAATGTGAATCAATCCAGAATCATAATTCTATAAGCCGTTAGTCTCTTTATGCTTTATCTAAAGATTTCTCTGAACTTCTCAGCAGTAATGATTAAAATGCTAAAAATAAAACTACTGAGGGTATTATCCTATGCTGTTGGGCCTACAGAGTTGCATTGTGTGTCTACATTATACTCATGGAGGCAGAGAGTTTTGCCCGAGTGGTAGCTGTTGTCTTGACCTCGTGCGTCTGATGGGGGTTTAATGAGCCACAGCCTGTCAAGTCTGCTGAAGCCTGGACTCGTCCCGCTGCAGACACACACCCTGACACTGCTTTGGTCTCGCTCTGCTGTTGGTGTTGATGCTACAAACTGGCCCTGCACACTCATCTTACTGTGTCCACTAAAAACAGAGGGCTCGGTTGGCATTAAGGCAGGAGAGGAATGTACTGTTTGTGAGGTTATACAATGTGTGATTCAGTGGATTATATTAAGCAATCAGCCATTTGCGATGAATACAATTTTTAAGCTGTCCTACTGCACTTTTTTACTTCAAAATGGCAATATTTGCCAGTAAACTGATGTACTGAGGTAAAATGATGACTCTTCACTCATGCTAGTGGCTCTGTGAGTCTGCACCTAGGCACAGTGATGCTTTGAGCTAAATGCTAGCGTCAGCATGCTAACATGGTCGCAGTGATGATGCTAACATTCTGATGTTTAGCAGGTCTAATATTCACCATGTTTACTGTTCATCCTATCATTTACTAATTATCAATAAAAAAAGAAGCTGAGGCAGATTTTTTCACCAGTAGTAATTGAGGTATTTCACTAAAAACCATGACAACCTCATCATGGCTTAGGAAAAGCCAGAGGATCATTAAAAATATTAAGATTCATGGGAACCATGAATGTTCATCTGGAGCAAAGTTGTGGACTGATCGACTCACTGGTGCTGCCATCTGTAGAGACACACTGCTAGAAACATGCATGGCTAGAAACACTATATATCACCCCAGACTAACTATTATACAGAGAGGAGGACACAATATACGGATTCAAGGATATCTAACCCTATAAAAAGAATGCTCTATTGAGATTTCTGACCTTAAGGTCAGGAAAGAGCTGACCAATACATATCCTGTTTCACTGACTTCCTCTCCACCAGCGACCTGCTCAGGATCTCTACAACTTGCAACCCTGGCCTTTCAGTGTAATTTCAAACCACAGCAATCTGTCAATGGCAAAACATACATCCTCTTGTATAGGAGTCTATTCTTAGATGTAATTTTTTCATTCCCTCACCGTAGCTGTTTATTCAGAAAGCATAAAGCATATGCTCAAGGCTATTATGACTCAGTGTACAGTATAAACAGCTGCGCCCCTCAGTGCTTTCTGTTTGAAATATGCCTTTTCACCCTAAATTGCATGAATACTCACGCTTGTATTATCCAGTGAACATCCATTGTTATTAGTTAATTAACCATAATAATTCATTTTTTCCTCTAAAGAGACTCAAACTTAATTTAAGCATTATCTTAATAAACTTAACATCCCAGTGTAATAATAACTTATGGTGTAGCAGCGCCAATGCTAAAGTTTCAGGTCCTGTGCAATTAAATTCTTCCCAGTGATTAGTATAAAAAGGCTGGGGCCATTTTACTGCTGGCAGCTCATAGTCATGAGCAGAATGTCTTTATTACAGGACAAATTAAGTAAGCAGTTATTTCAGGTTGGATCTCGGGGGTATTAATTTATTAAAGTTACACAGATGAGCTTTGCCATGAAGCTTAATAATTCAAATTCAGCTTCAAGCAACGAATCAAGGACAAGAGGGGATAGCACTTGACATTGGGCTGGAGAGAGTACTGAAAGACCTTCATGAAAAAGGGTGTAAGCCAAACACATCAATTATGAAAAGTGAATAATTGAATTGCTTTGTATAAAGCAGCTCTGGCAAGGCTAACAAAACAACAACAGCTTGTCTTGACAGATTTATGCAGCAGGTTGAGGTCCACGGTGCACACACTTCCATTTGAAAGGCCACTTAAAAACAATTTCATTGACCAAACAACTGTTAGCTATGACTTTAAACTTCATCTTGGCAGCTTCAACGCCTACTCTAACATTCCTCCTGTATCAATAACGTGAGTGAGGCTTTGTGGTGAAAGCAGTGACTGTCAGCTCTCGTGATTCTCCCCCATGTTCCTGATGTCTATCTAGATGCCGGCCCTCATCCTCATCAAAGCCATCTCTGAGCTGGTAGATCACTCCCTGACATAATCGGCTTTGACCACAGCAAAGTTTGTTAAACTTCTGCAAAGACAAGGAAACTTTTAACACAATCAGCTTTTGCCGTGAGATGTCGCTCTAA